TGTCCCAATAACCACTCCGGCATGAGCACATATGTCTATGAGAGCAGTAGCCACATTACTACTCTTACCAGCACATCTGCTTCTCCTTTTGCTCTACCCTGGGAACCCAGTAGCCCTGCCTAACCTCACCTCATCTTCTCGTCCATCAAGACGAAAACCGACGGCATGCAACAGGCTCACTAGTAGTGATGGAGAAGAACATAGGCCCACTACTAGTAGTAGCAGACATTGATGTGGGAGAGGAAGGTGCGGAGCTGGGAGGGGTGGGGAAGGAGGGTTGGGGGGGAGGGGGTATGGAGTGGAGAGGGGAGGGGATAGTACCTTGGGCCTGGATGAACAGTGTGCCCGCGTTGTGGGGTCCCAACTCCATGCAGTGGGGCAGACGTGGGTCTAGGAGAAGCAGGTGCGGTGCAGATCTGGGAGGGAATGAGGCGGAGGGAAAGGAGGAAAAATGGCAGTGGCTTGTGAGAATGATGTGGGAGACAGTGCCATAAGGGTGCGAACGTGTGGTCCAGGAGACCATATAAAGGAAGCCGATGCAGAGCTAGGGTGGAGATGTGGGAGAAAGTGCTGTAGGGGCTTATATTTCTCGGTGTATGGGACGCAGGTGCAGAACTGGAACTGGTGGGGGAGGGGGGAGAGGGGGGGAGGGAGGGGGGGGGGAGGTTGGGGGAGGTGAGAGCGGGAAAGAAGGGTGGAAAAGCGGGGAAAGCGGAGGAGCGGGTAGAGGCAGATATGAAGGAGTCACAAGGCGTTGGTGTAGGACAGGAATCACACATGCGATTCTGGATGGATGGGGAAAGGGGGGTTGCGAATGGGAGTTGGATGGAAAGAGGAAATCAGAGTTTGGGAGGGAGGGGAAGGTAGTTGAGGGAAGATGGCGGAACGGGTCCCACCTTGGCTGCAACCAGCTTCTTAACTCACCTGTCCTGCTGTGACCTCCCTCCAGCCATCTCATCCCCCCGCCCAGCCACTTTCACCCACTCCTCACCGAATCTCAGCAACTCCCACCTTGGTGGCGCCCAGCTGCTCAATGCCACCATTCACTTCACTTATCGCCTGCGCATGACTCAAGAGATTCCTACACGCGACTCCTCGTCCCGAACCAACTCTCGCCTTGGCGAGATCCAGCTTGTCAACCGCCCCCGGGCCCCGTCCACCCATCGTTAACACTCCAGGCATCCCCTATGGCCTCCGCCCGCCACAGCAGCACTCCCCATCCTCCTCCCCTTCACCCCGCCTTCACTCCCCTTCCACCTCCCTTCACTGCTCTCTCGAGTGAACCTCACACACGCCCCTAACCCACAGATTCCGCACACCGACTCTCACATACATACCCACCCATGACCGACTCTCACCTTCGTCATCCATCCGAAGCCACAAGAGCAGTAGATATGCCGAAGTGGCATGTGTGAGCAACCATGCGAAGCTCGGGACCTGGATCTTACTTCACTTCTCATTGTGTGCTTTCGACCTCAACTATATAGACCTGTGGGGAGGTGGGAGCAGAGGCGCGGGGATTGAGGACAACATGAGCGGAAAAAGGGGGGGGGGGGGGGGGGGGGTTGGAGGGTGACGTGGGGGAAGGGGGAAGAGGCAGAATGGGAGAGAGAAGATGGAGCAGTAAATAGGGACAGGGGGAGGTCAGGAAACCAATATCAGCGGCAGTAACTGTTGCAACACGTGGATGGCACAATGACGCCTCAACAAGCTGTGCCACGTGGCATGCGACAACTGAATCTCCTTTATCCGTCCAATCTTCCCCGCACCATCATCCCTTCGCCTTTTACTTTATGCATCATGAAATGTCCCATTAACCATATCTGTCACGTCAGTAATCTAAGCACCGGAATAAGCGTCTTGCTGCTGTGACGCCATGCGTTGAATGCTCAGTGAAACACAGAAAGCGCAGCTTACCATCAGCAATTCTCCGTCCTTCCAACCCCTCCAACGAAATCCACCGCATCTTCGACGCCCCAACAAAAAAGCCTGAACAGGTCGAGGCGGCCTCGGTGCATACCGCCTGTGCATGCGGCCAAGTCGCCATCCTATATCAGAAATCCCGCGAATGGGTGTCGCGATTTGCCTGAGCAGGCAACAGGGACTGCCGAAGGAAGGCTGCATCACTTGTGCGGCGTCGCACTAGCATCACCAGCCGCAGCAACAGCAGCAGCTGCGCGCCGTCGCGGCGCGAGGCGAGAGCGAGCAGCAGCATTCGCAGCAGCAGCGGCGGAAGCTGCGCGCCGAGCAAGGCGGGAGTGCGCGATGTGGGGAGAGTGATAGTTGTCTCGAATGGACTCGAGTCTGATAATGCCGCAACCTAGCAGCGGCTGGCGACACGGGCAGGAGGACGTGTCGTTGCTGTAGCTGCTACTTGAAAATAATGTCTGTTTGTGGCTGCAGGGGCTATTGATGGGACTAATAGTGGATTGAGTTGACATCGACGAAGACGCTGGCGACGATTCCGCCAACGCGACGATGGAGCGGACGGAAAAGCGGGTACGGTTCCATAGACAGCTCGTAGAAACCGCCATGTATTTTTCATGCTTGAGGGAGTGGACTCGTGAACTGAGAAGCTATGCACGGAAGGTTCAAAAATAGGGTTGGAGAGCTGTGATGATTATAGAACAGAGATTGATATGACGAAATGTGTGATTGATACACGTTCACAACCTAGCTTAGCGAGATTCGTGGTGGCGAGGTTTGGGCAACGGCGAAAACGAAAGGTTCGGAATCGATTCGACTCAGCTTCAGTTTCGTCAACTCGGCCGAGCCTGATCCCCGTCATGTTCGGGGCTTCGTCCGATACCTAAAATGACGCCACCAAACCAAAATCAAACCGAACGCACAGACAGAAGTTTACGCACACCAAACCAAACGCCTTCCCAGGAACCAAAATGCCAGCCAAGCTTGGCGTGACAGACGTACACATTTTGCTTCGGCACAGCAAAGCCGGAGTAGCTGCTAGTTTTTCGCAAATCGGAACCTCGTACCCTTCGGTAAGTCGCACAATGCGGCAGCGACATGAACATACTCAGTAACCCTATAATGTTTGCTTCCACGAGGCAGAATGACGCTCGATCAGAAAGCTTACTAGAATCCATTCGCTGATGTCCGATCTTTTCGCGTTCGAGGCTTCTAGGCTCTGCTGTGCGTTTTGTCCATTTTTTTGGCGCCTACGAATTGGTCGCTGTGCTTCGCTGTCGGTTCTGCCAGGTTCGGTCGTCGTGATGGGTGCTTTGAGCTGTAGGCTCGGCGCACTTATGCTCTCCATGCAGTCCGCAGTGTGACTATTGACCCCTCCCAAGGTCCGTTATTGCTTTCATGTTGCCTGGCTGAATGTGGTGATGTGTCGCCATCATCTTGCTGTCGTTCGCCTTGTCTCGCCACCATTTTCGAGTTGTCACGGCCATTTCTATATGTCACGCTCATTCCGAAAGCCACGCCCCCGTTTCACCATGTCGCGCCGCCATCCGCTCAGGCGACGGTGAGTCGCACTTGCACCGCTTGCATTTTCTTGAGAATGCGCTCCCTGCATGCTCTCCGCGCTTTCGCCTAGAAGTACGAGCGGTGTTACTAGCATTACAGGCCGCGCGCGCGTCTAGTGCTAAGGCGCGACTGGGGGCCGTGGCTTCACGCGGTCAGCCGGCTGTAGGCTCCTTGAGTCACCGAGACCTGATGGCGTGGCATATGGCGGGGCCAAACCCGTGGTTTAGTTTGGCTCCTGGACGCAAAAGCGGATGATCGTAGTAGCGCGGCTCGGCTGCGTGCTTGCCATGTCCTGCTGTGGTGGCAGTTGGTACGGCGAGCACAGCGGCGTTTCACGCGTAGCGGCGTAGCTGAAGCTGAGGTGGGCGGGCGTTCCCAGTGGCATGACAGCGAGCGTGAGAGAGCTCATTCCCCCACGCAAGGCGCACTGCGGACCTGACAGCACGCGATGCCTAGGGGGGCTGCGTCTGTGGGAGAGCTAAGTGCCGTGAGGCTGCCTTTACGACGTGCCGCGTATGTGCTTGTACCTTGTCGCTTGGGGAGCGCATCGTTGCTTTGTGCATCTTCGCGCTGTGTATCGTTGCGCTGTGTATCGTTGCGCTGTGTATCATTGCGCTGTGTATCGTTGCGCTGTGTATCGTTGCGCTGTGTATCGTTGCGCTGTGTATCGTTGCACAGTGTATCGTTGCGCAGTGTATCATTGCGCAGTGTATTGTTGCGCAGTGTATCGTCGCTCAGTGCGACTGAGTCAACCCCCCTATGGACACCCCCTCAACTGTCGAACTGTCCTTGTCATTGAATACAAGTGGTACAGCAAAGTCGATGGTAAAGAAGCAAGGTAAGAACGCATAAGCCAACCTAAGCAAAGAATAAAGCCCTGACAGGTATGTGTTACGAGGGGGGAAGGAAATGAAAAGGAGGTGGGGGGAATGGGGGTGGTGTCATGGGGAGTGGGGGTGCTCGCTCTCTCCTGCATCCTAGCGCTCTCCCTCTGCCTCGCTTCTGCCTTCCCCTCCCCTCTCCCGGTTTCATTAACTCCCCTCCCCCTTCCCTATCGTTCCCCCCTGCCGCTCTTACCAAGCGTAGACCCATCTCCTGCCCCGCCATGCTCCCACTGCTGCTGCTCACCTGCTTCTGCTCGCGCTGCATGCTGGTGGCGGGGTGGCAAATACAGGTGGCAGGCTGTGAGTGCGCCCGAGCGGGTGGTGAGGCAGCATGGAGTGGTATGGGAATGGGGTGGTATGGGGTGATGCAACGGAATGGGAAGGTATGGGGCGGTGGGGCGGCGGCATGCAGGGGTGGTGTGAGATTTAACATGCGAAGATTCGCCAATGCCACTGTGACTCTCTTTCACCGCGTTCCTCAGAAGCGCTCTAGCCGTTTCGCATGTTGTGCAACGGTCAATCCCTCTCCTGAACGCACAACTCACCCTTAACATCCTTGTTCCACCTCTCACTGCCCCCTCTTTGCCTCTCCATGCCCCCTCTTTGCCTCTCCATGCCCCCCTTCCTATGCTACTACCCTGTTATCACCCCGCCTTCCCTCCTTTCCCTCCCTTTCCTCCCTCCACTCCCTCTTCTCATCCCCTCTCCCAACAACCCTCACTCATCTGTCACACAACCCCATCACAAAAATCCAGCGTCCAGAAAGCCAATGAAAAGAGGCTCGTTGGAGCTTTTTCAAATGATTTAGAAACGTAGGGTTTCAAACGCTTTTCTGAGAAAGTATAGGTCGTTTTCCAAATGCGTTGTCGAATGCTTTTCAAATGGTACTCGAATGCTTCTCTGTCCAAAACTGCATCTTGAATACCTTCGACTGACGTTTGGTATGAGTTTTTGCGAAGTGATTTTGGAGACTAGATCTGATTGCATTGTACTCTTCAGTGAGTTTGATGTTGACTTCATACTACTAATTATTGGACATTCCACAAACGTTATTAATATTTTTAAGAGGGCCTCTTCCGGTCCCTGCGTGCCCCCATGCCCCTCCCCATGTGGATTCCCTCCCCCCACACTCCACCGTGCCCGCTGACCTCCGTGAGCCCGCGGCTGCACCCCCTGCGTCCAACCCTCTCCGGCCTTCGCTGGCAGTCAAGCTGTTCCGCAGGCGCTGGCGGCATGGGGGCAGCTTGGGGGCGGCTGGCAGGCGTGGTCGGGCAGCAGTGACTGCTCAACCGTGCAGGGCGTCACGTGCGACGCTCATGGCAAGGCAACGTTGTCTCCCTGGTACGTGAGGCATGTGAGTGCTGCTCCAGCGCATGTGAGTGCTGCTCCAGCGCATGTGAGTGCTGCTCCAGCGCATGTGAGTGCTGCTCCAGCGCATGTGAGTGCTGCTCCAGCGCATGTGAGTGCTACTCCAGCGCATGTGAATGCTGCTCCAGCGCATGTGAGTGCTGCTCCAGCGCATGTGAGTGCTGCTCCAGCGCATGTACCAGTGCTGCTCCAGCGCATGTGAGTGCTGCTCCAGCGCATGTGAGTGCTGCTCCAGCGCATGTGAGTGCTGCTCCTGCGCATGTGAGTGCTGCTCCAGCGCATGTGAGTGCTACTCCAGCGCATGTGAATGCTGCTCCAGCGCATGTGAGTGCTGCTCCAGCGCATGTGAGTGCTGCTCCAGCGCATGTGAGTGCTGCTCCAGCGCATGTGAGTGCTGCTCCAGCGCATGTGAGTGCTGCTCAAGCGCATGTGAGTGCTGCTCCAGCGCATGTGAGTGCTGCTCCAGCGCATGTGAGTGCTACTCCAGCGCATGTGAATGCTGCTCCAGCGCATGTGAGTGCTGCTCCAGCGCATGTGAGTGCTGCTCCAGCGCATGTGAGTGCTGCTCCAGTGCATGTGAGTGCTGCTCCAGCGCATGTGAGTGCTGCTCCAGCGCATGTGAGTGCTACTCCAGCGCATGGGAATGCTGCTCCAGCGCATGTGAGTGCTGCTCCAGCGCATGTGAGTGCTGCTCCAGCGCATGTGAGTGCTGCTCCAGCGCATGTGAGTGCTGCTCCAGGGCATGTGAGTGCTACTCCAGCGCATGTGAATGCTGCTCCAGCGCATGTGAATGCTGCTCCAGCGCATGTGAGTGCTGCTCCAGCGCATGTGAGTGCTGCTCCAGCGCATGTGAGTGCTGCTCCAGCGCATGTGAGTGCTGCTCCAGCGCATGTGAGTGCTGCTCCAGCGCATGTGAGTGCTGCTCCAGCGCATGTGAGTGCTGCTCCAGCGCATGTGAGTGCTGCTCCAGCGCATGTGAGTGCTGCTCCAGCGCATGTGAGTGCTGCTCCAGCGCATGTGAGTGCTGCTCCAGCGCATGTGAGTGCTACTCCAGCGCATGTGAGTGCTGCTCCAACGCATGTGAGTGCTGCTCCAGCGCATGTGAGTGCTGCTCCAGCGCATGTGAGTGCTGCTCCAGCGCATGTGAGTGCTGCTCCAGCGCATGTGAGTGCTGCTCCAGCGCATGTGAGTGCTGCTCCAGCGCATGCGAGTGCTGCTCCAGCGCATGTGAATGCTGCTCCAACGCATGTGAGTGCTGCTCCAGCGCATGTGAGTGCTGCTCCAGCGCATGTGAGTGCTGCTCCAGCGCATGTGAATGCTGCTCCAGCGCATGTGAGTGCTGCTCCAGCGCATGTGAGTGCTACTCCAGCGCATGTGAATGCTGCTCCAGCGCATGTGAGTGCTGCTCCAGCACATGTGAGTGCTGCTCCAACGCATGTGAATGCTGCTCCAGCGAATGTGAGTGCTGCTCCAGCGCATGTGCGTGCGTGCAGTGCGGCAGATGGGACGCACCATCAACGTCTCAGCCATCCCTCTCCTCACCTCAGTACATTGCCCCATCTGTAGTCCTTCCACGTCTCCCCTCCCTCTCCCTCTCCTAATCGTTCATTTTCCTTGCCCCAACCTTATACGTCCAACCCCATCCAACCCCATTTCGTGTATCCCATCGATCCCCATGTTTCTACATGTGTGCGCCACACATGCAGCAAGCCGAGAGTGAATCATCTGAACATCTCCAAATGACATGAGCAACCTCCTTCAGTGTCACCTACCTGTCAGTACCACCCTTACCCCTCCTACCTAGTCCATCCCACAACTCCTTGGCTCTGTCCCTGTTTCATTGCATGAGTTTGCGTCACATGCCAGGTAGTCCCATGCTCTCTCCCTTTCTCGGATCCCTTCTTGACCATCTCTCCTCTGGAGGAACCGGCTGAGTTGATCAGCTTGTTGACCAACCTGATGTGAGTGATCTGCGCAGAACTGGCTGAGCTGATCCGTGCCTGAGTCCCTTATCTGTCGCACCTCAACCAACTCGCCACACTGTAATATATCCACTGCACTGAGAGATCTGGGCAGGCTCAATTGCTGAGGGGTGTCACTGGGTCGAAGAGCATCACAAAAATCATATGACCAGAAACCTATTGTAAATAGTTGTGGTGAAGTATTTTCAAATGCTTTTAAAACGTAGGGGCCAAAACGCTTTTCGGTGAAAGTATAAACATTTTTTCGAATGCTTTGTCGAATGCTTTGCAGGTGATGACATGTTTGTATTACCTTCAGATTAGGGTCTGTCTGAGTTTCTTCGGAGATGTATAAGACTTCGTTCGGAGAGTTCAGGGAGATTACTTTCCACTCATATACTCTTTAGCAGAGCTTAGGACCAAAGTTCAAGAAGATTGTATATGAACCTTTATCAAGTGATTCTCGTTGTTTGATGGAAGGTCTATTAGCCATTCTTAGGTGTACACGCACATCATGAATGCATTGCTCAATGATTATTAATCTCATTACAGAGTTGGCTTGGCACACAAAACAGCTGCCTAAACACGCGTTGCGTAGTCCTGCTAGGGTGGATTAATCTGCACCATCCTCCTACCTACTTCGCAAGCCATCATCGGATGCAGCCCCGCCCCATCTCTCCAGCTCTTGGCCTAGAGAGTTCTTGACTACAGATACTGCTCCATCTAATGCTAACCTGCACGGCTACACACTTCCTGTCTCCTCTCTTGCTTATACTCCTGTCCCCTTGCTGTCTCCACGCTGCTGCCCCCTATGCGGTCTCCTCTCATGCCTGCTCCTGCTGCTCCACATTGGGCCTCTCCTGGAACTCCCCTCTTACCTCCCGGCCTCCCCCCCCTGATGCTACTCATGCTGCCTCCACTGCTCCTCCACTACTGCCTCACATGCTGCCTCCACTGCTCCTCCGCCACCCAGGCAACCTGCAAAACGGTCGCATATTAAATATGCACTCCTCCCCTACTGCCACGGGATGTTGCCTCCCCCCTGCTGCCATTCAATGTTGCCTCCCAAGCTGCCTCCCTTTGTTGTCTCCCCTGCTGCCATTCTAGTTGCCTCCCATGCTGCCTCTCTCTGTTGCCTACCCTGCTGCTGTTCAATGTTGCCTCCCCTACCGCCTCCCTTTGTTGCCTCCCCTGCCCCTTTGTTGCCTCCCCTGCTGCCATTCTATGTTGCCTCCCATGCTGCCTCTCTCTGTTGTCTCGCCTGCTGCCATTCTATGTTGCCTCCCCTACTCCCTCTCTCTGTTGCCTACCCTGCTGCTATTTAATGTTGCCTCCCCTGCTGCCTCCCTTTGTTGCCTCCCCTGCTGCCATTCTATGTTGCCTCCCATTCTGCCTCTCTGTTGCCTCCCCTGCTGTCATTCTATGTTGCCTTCCCTGCTCCCTCTCCCTGTTGCCTCCCGTGGTGCCTTTCTCTGTTGCCTCCCCTGCTGTCATTCTATGTTGCCTTCCCTGCTCCCTCTCCCTGTTGCCTCCCGTGGTGCCTTTCTATGTTGCCTCCCCTGCTGCCTTTCCTTGTTGACTCTCGGCTTCTTACCCTTGTTGCCTATCCTGATGCCTTTCCTTTATCCATACCCGTTAAACGCCCCTGCTCTCCCCGTTAACCGATACCCTCCTGCCTCACCCGATGCCTCTCCAACTTCCTCCACTGCCACCCGTCCTGCTTGCCCCCTTGTCTGCCTGCACATCACTTTCCCCTCCTGCCACCCATGTTTTTGCCTCTCTTGTGCCTTCTGCTCCCTCTCAACTCCTTCCCCCCCTGCTCATCATCCTCCTCTTCCTCTTCCTCCTCTTCATCCTCCTCCTCATCCTCCTCATCCTCATCCTCCTCCTCCTCTTCCTCCTCTTCCTCCTCTTGCTCCTCCTCCTCTTGCTCCTCCTCCTCCTCCTCCTCCTTCTCACTGAAATCCTCTTGCTCCTCCTCCTCCTCCTCCTCCTCCTCCTCGTTATCAGCCTGAGCCGTCCCCCGGAACGCCTGAAACCCGGACTCATGTACATAGAGCCCACGCGTGCCCCACTTGAAGCCCTGCAACTCTGCGTTGTACACGGGGGTGTGGCGTGTAAAGTGATCCCTTACAATCCTCCGCACCCCCCGAGTCAAACTCCTCATCCATCTAGTGTTTTTCCTGTGGGAGTTCGGCAGGTTCATGTCGGTCTCCTTGAAGCGCGCCAAGCCTTGATCAATCTGAAACGGGTTTGGATTACAGGGACCAGCAGCAAGGCAGAGTTGCATGTTACCGGTGTTAGCCCCCAAGGGTCCCAAGTCGTTCACGTGCAATAGAAAAGATTGAGCATTAGGGCAAGTACATGTGATTTACAAAACCAGTCTCACCACCATGAGTGACCAGGCTATGTGGTACGTCTTTAGGGCCAGCCTGCGCCCAACAGCGTAATCCCGAAATGATGCCTTCACCGCATCCACAAACCGGGCGTTGGCAAAAGGGAGCCCGGATCTGTCGTTCCCCCACGAGCTGACCCGCTCATTCCCTCCTACAAGGAGGCACAACCATGTGGGGAAGCACGGGGTATGTTTTATCATCAAGTAGTGGGGCAGGCAGTGTTTGGAGGTATGTTTGGGCATCGTAAGAAGGGGCAGGCCGGGCAGAGGGGTTTGGGTGAGGATCCTGGGGTGGGGCAGGCAGGGCAGAGGGGTTCGGGTTTAGGATCCTGAGGTGGGGCAGGCAGGGCAGAGGGGTTTGGGTGAGGATCCTGAGGTGGGGCAGGCAGGGCAGAGGGGTTTGGGTTTAGGATCCTGAGGTGGGGCAGGCAGGGAAGAGGGGTTTGGGTGAGGATCCTGAGGTGGGGCAGGCAGGGCAGAGGGGTTTGGGTGAGGATCCTGAGGTGGGGCAGGCAGGGCAGAGGGGTTTGGGTGAGGATCCTGAGGTGGGGCAGGCAGGGCAGAGGGGTTTGGGTGAGGATCCTGAGGTGGGGCAGGCAGGGCAGAGGGGTTTGGGTTTAGGATCCTGAGGTGGGGCAGGCAGGGCAGAGGGGTTTGGGTGAGGATCCTGAGGTGGGGCAGGCAGGGCAGAGGGGTTTGGGCGAGGAACCTGAGGTGGGGCAGGCAGGGCAGAGGGGTTTGGGTGAGGATCCTGAGGTGGGGCAGGCAGGGCAGAGGGGTTTGGGTTTAGGGTCCTGAGGTGGGGCAGGCAGGGCAGAGGGGTTTGGGTGAGGATCCTGAGGTGGGGCAGGCAGGGCAGAGGGGTTTGGGTTTAGGGTCCTGAGGTGGGGCAGGCAGGGCAGAGGGGTTTGGGTGAGGATCCTGAGGTGGGGCAGGCAGGGCAGAGGGGTTTGGGTTTAGGGTCCTGAGGTGGGGCAGGCAGGGCAGAGGGGTTTGGGTGAGGATCCTGAGGTGGGACAGGCAGGGCAGAGGGGTTTGGGTTTAGGATCCTGAGGTGGGGCAGGCAGGCCAGATGGGTTTGGGTGAGGATCCTGAGGTGGGGCAGGCAGGGCAGAGGGGTTTGGGTTTAGGATCCTGAGGTGGGGCAGGCAGGGCAGAGGGGTTTGTGTTTAGGATCCTGAGGTGGGGCAGGCAGGGCAGAGGGGTTTGGGTGAGGATCCTGAGGTGGGGCAGGCAGGGCAGAGGGGTTTGGGTTTAGGGTCCTGAGGTGGGGCAGGCAGGGCAGAGGGGTTTGGGTGAGGATCCTGAGGTGGGGCAGGCAGGGCAGAGGGGTTTGGGTTTAGGATCCTGAGGTGGGGCAGGCAGGGCAGAGGGGTTTGGGTGAGGATCCTGAGGTGGGGCAGGCAGGGCAGAGGGCTTTGGGTTTAGGATCCTGAGGTGGGGCAGGCAGGGCAGAGGGGCTGGGGGTTAGGGTCCAAGTAGTGGGGCAGGCAGGACAGAGGGGTTTGGGTGAGGATCCTGAGGTGGGGCAGGCAGGGCAGAGGGGTTTGGGTTTAGGGTCCTGAGGTGGGGCAGGCAGGGCAGAGTGGGTGAGGATCCTGAGGTGGGGCAGGCAGGGCAGAGGGGTTTGGGTTTAGGATCCTGAGGTGGGGCAGGCAGGGCAGAGGGGTTTGGGTGAGGATCCTGAGGTGGGGCAGGCAGGGCAGAGGGGTTTGAGTGAGGATCCTGAGGTGGGGCAGGCAGGGCAGAGGGGTTTGAGTGAGGATCCTGAGGTGGGGCAGGCAGGGCAGAGGGGTTGGGGTTTAGGATCCTGAGGTGGGGCAGGCAGGGCAGAGGGGTTTGGGTGAGGATCCTGAGGTGGGGCAGGCAGGGCAGAGGGGTTTGGGTGAGGATCCTGAGGTGGGGCAGGCAGGGCAGAGGGGTTTGGGTTTAGGATCCTGAGGTGGGGCAGGCAGGGCAGAGGGGTTTGAGTGAGGATCCTGAGGTGGGGCAGGCAGGGCAGAGGGGTTTGGGTGAGGATCCTGAGGTGGGGCAGGCAGGGCAGAAGAGTTTGGGTTTACGATCCTGAGGTGGGCCAGGCAGGGCAGAGGGGTTTGGGCGAGGAACCTGCGGTGGGGAATGCAGGGCAGACGGATTTGTGACCATGACATGATGGGGCCAGGTTTAGGAAATAAAAGTGCTATCTGAAAAGACAAAGGGAATGAGCAACGCGACGAAACCAACGTAGTTGCAGCGGGATAGCTGATTGTCAAGACTCACTCGGTTTGTATTTTCGCCACAACCTCCACTTCCTCTTCGTGCTCAGCTTGATCTGCGATGCACGCAGTCCCTCCACCTTCACTCCAAACTTCTCGAGCACACCGCGCTTGACTTGAAATCCCCGTTCATTCTTCCATGCTGTCCACACACGTTTAAAGACGGCAACGACGTTCTGATCCTTCATTGTCTCTTTCAGCTGCATGTAAGAAATGATGTGGGTCTCACTGATGACGCCATACAGAACCTGTAGTCGCTGGTCAAATGATGGGTACCAGTCAACCGCATGGTCCGGCGCTTCCATGCACATCCGGTCCCGCGCCTCAACAAAATGAAGCTACAATGGACGGGATGGTAGGGCAAGAAGAAATCAGTGGCGAGGGGCAAGCATATCAAATGTGGGGCAGGCAGAGGGGGTTATAATTAACAACCATGACAATGTGGGGCTGGCAAGGGGGTTACGAATGAGCAAGAACAGACGTAGTGCAGGCAGAGGGGGTTTGGAACGACATGCTGGACAATGTGGGGCTAGCAAGGGGGGTTAACATGAGCATGAATAGCAAGATGCTAGCAGGGGGTTGCGAATGAGCATGAAAGCAACGCAGAGTGCCCCTCACACTCACCCTCAGTTTCTCGAGAGTGGGCATTCCATGCCTGCGCCGAATGGGCTGGCCCTCTGTCGGGGTGCTCTCATCAGCTACCTCGGGACTGAGGCCCCCAGATGATGGGTCGCTCGCCAAAGGTGCCAGAGGAGGAACTTGGGAAGGGGGTGTCGTGAATCCCCTCTGCTGTCCCTTCCTTCTCACTCTCCCTTGCATCCCTGCCTGACTTCCTCACTCCCTCTCCCTCCACCTCTCATCCAGGTGACCGGCTCATCCCTTCTTCCTCCTGGCGTATGTAATCACTCTGTTCTGATCCCCTCCTCGTATCTCAGGCTTCCCTGCCCCCTCCCGTGACTGAGCACGCACCCGAGCTGCTCCAGACACGGGATCCAATGCCTGAGGCTTCTCCCTTCCCGCCCTGGCCACGTTGGTGATATGCTCCTTCAGGTACTCCCCTCGATCATCCTCCAGCACTAGCACCCCCGACTCCCTTACCTCTTTCACCCTCCATCGCTCCGGTCCCACAGCTAAGTCCAGCGTATCTCGCTTAGCCCTGCGCAGGTACACCTCCTGCCCCGCTTCCACTTGGTGACTCTTTCCTCCCATCCCTCCTGCTTTGCGCTGCTGGTACCGCCTTGCATCCCTCAGCTGCGCCACGTGTAGATTATCCAAGGCAGCTGGAGTCAGCTCTTTCAGATACCTCGCCCTCTTCTCCGCTAATCCCGCCCACAGGCTCGGCTCGTCCGCTTCAATCGTCGCCGAGAGCAGCTTCGGTGCATCCACAGGTAGCACCGGGTCCCGTCCGTACAGTAGATGATACGGGGACAGATGCTTCAGCGCTGCCTGCTTCGCAAACCGGTATCCCGCAAGCACCCACCAGAGATCCCTGTCCCAACTCCTCTTGTGTGTCTCTCCATAGGCCCGAAGTCCTTTCTTCACGGTTTGTATGAGCCTCTCTGTCAGCCCGTCCGATTGAGGGTGATACCTTGAGGTGACACGATGCGTAATGCCCATCTCCTCTAGCAGCTCATCAAAGCTCCCTTGAAATTCTGTCCCTTGATCGGTAAGCACCTCCCCACATGCACCGTACCTGGTCAGGACTAACTCCTCGAATGCGTCCGCTATCAGTGCGCTACTCTTGCTTGGTAATGCTCGCGCCTCCACCCATTTGCTCGTGTGCTCAACCATGATCAGGATGTACTGCTTCCCTCCTTTTGATAATGGTAACTCTCCTGCCAGGTCCAGCGACCACCTGTAACCTAACCCCCGAATCGGTAGTGAGTGCAGCTCCTCCCTCTCCTTTTCCAGCCTTGCTTTATTCCTTTGACAAGCCTCGCAGCTGGCTACCAGTCCTGCCACATCCTTCCCCATGCTTGCCCACCAGTACATGGTGCTCAGCAGCTGCCGTGTCCTGGTGATGCCGTAATGTCCCAGCTTCGCATGCACCTTCCCCATGATCCTGTTCCTCTCTTGCGGCTGCGGCACTACCCTCCATCCTTCGCTGGTCCTCAGCTGCAGCTGCTCCTGAAACCATCTGTAATGCTGCCCTCTGGCTCTTGCTCTCTCACTTACGCCTTCCTCCTCCAGTGGCTCCCCTTTGATCCAGCTCATGGTCTCCTCGTCCTCCCATATATCTGCTAACCGCTTCTCTCCCTTCTCCTGCCCCCAGCTTACGGCCACGGTGTGGGCTAAGGCCGCCAGCTGCGCTACCGGCTGCATCGGTGGTGGGTTCCTTGACAGCCCATCTGCATGCTGCAGTGTTTTACCCGGTCGGTGCCGGATCTCAAAGTCAAATCCCAACAACTTGATAGCCCATCGAGCGTTTCTTCCCGTCAGCTCTTGATTAGTCATCAACCATAGCAGTGGCTGATGATCAGTCACTAATGTGAAGTGCCGGCCCTGTAGGTATACCTTGAAATGCGTGATTCCCCACACTGCCGTCAGGCCCTCTCCCTCGTATGAGCAGTAGTTAGCCTCGGATGGGCTGCAGCTTCGGCTGGCAAAGGCTATCACTCTTTCCTCTCCCTCGATTTCTTGGCAGAGCACCGCTCCCATTCCCGTACTGCTCCAGTCCGTGTACAGGATGAAAGGCGCTTCTGCCCTCGGTATCTGCAATAAGGTCCCTGTCCTAACTGCTTCGAGCAAGTCCTGCCTTGCTGCCTCCTCCACCTCTCCCCATTGCCAGCTCTTCCCTTCCCTCAGCAGCTGGTTCAGCACGTAGGCACGGCGACTGAAGTTTGACACAAACTTCCTGTAATAATTCAGGAAGCCGAGTAACGCCCGCAGCCCTGTCTTATCCTTTGGCGCTGCCAGGTTCTCCAGCACCTTAACCTTTGCCTCTTGTATGGCCAGCCGACCGCCCTTCACTTCAAACCCCAGGTAAGCCACCGTGTGCCTCGCTATCTTACACTTATCTGGGTGACACGTCAGCCCCGCAGCTGCTATTGCCTCCAGAGTCTGCTTCAGATCTTGCACATGCTGTTCTTTGCTGCTGCTGTAAATCAACACGTCATCAATGTAGCATGCTGCGGCTGGAACCCCCTTCAGCACTTGATCCATGGCTCTCTGGAACACTGCTGGTGCGTTACGAAGCCCGAAAGGCATAACGTTGTACTCATACAAACCGTCCACCCCGTGAAATGCTGTTTTCCGTTTATCTGCTTCTCTAATGCCTATTTGATTGAAGCCCTGCCGCAGGTCCAAGGTGGTAAAGACGGTGGCCCCTTCCAGCCGGTCGAAAATGTCTTCAGCAGTCGGCATAGGGTATCTGTCTGGGCTTGTAATCTTGTTCAGCTCCCGAAAATCCCCGCACATCCGCTTCGCTAGAATCTTTCCCGTGATGTCCTTCCTAGCAGCCACCACCGTGGCCGCCGCGTAACTTGATTCTGACGGGCGAATAATCCCTGCAGCTAGCAACTCCTCACATTTCTCCTTGCAGATGGCTGCATCCTCCGCATTCATTCGCCTCCTGCGTTGGTATGTAGGTAGCTCAGTCGTGAGGTTCAGCTCCAGCTCTCTCCCCTTGTATCTCCCCAATTCCTGCAGGTTATAGGCGAAGGTGCCCCTATGCTGCTGCAACACCTCCCTGATTGCTTCGGCTGCTTGCTCCCCTATACCTGCCCCCAGCTCCCAGGTTTTGCCCGGCTCTGCTTCCGTCCCTACTGGTGGTGCAGTTTTGATCTCCTTCTCGTCTGTGAGCTTGCTGACAGCGGCGTAAGCAGCCTGCTTGCTGCCCCTGCACTTCTCCTCTTCCGTCTTTCCCTTTTTCTCGGCTGGCCCCTTTCTCATCTCACTAATTAGCCATCGCAGTGAGTGCTGGTCTATGGCTCGGCCCAAGGCAGCTTTGCGCACCTCCTCCCCTACTCCATCTGCTGCAGTTGCCCCCGGCAGGTACCCCATGGCTAATTCCCTCTCCAAAGCAGTCGGCTCCTCCCATCTTTTCTTACGGTGATCATACACCATCCCTGGACCTGGAGTCCCTTCCACTTCGACAAATCCCCGTGCCTTTGCATAGGCCACCAGTGTCGGCCAGGCCCTCCTCGCTTCCCCCACTCGGTTACACTGATACTGTCGCGGATGATCTGGCTTTACCACTGGGGCGGCCACTCTCCCTGGTTCCAGAATGTCTTCCACGATTCGGCTCTCATCTCTCTCCACCCTTGCTAATCTCGCCCTCAGTTCTCCTTCTGGCAGGACGTTCTGCCAGTACTGCCGCACTCTATGACACCTTGCCCCCAGCTGTGCCCCGTCACAACTCACTCCCCTTCCCAATTCTGCTTCCACCAGTTCGCGTACGGCTCGGACCGGCTCCCTGCTATCACTCCTCATATCCACATGTTCTAGGATGTACGCATATTCCCCGCCAGATTCTCTCGCCCACCTCATAATCGTCAGCAGTGTTGTCACCATCGCCGTGCGGTCATCCTGCATTCCTCTTCCCTTCCCCGCTCGGGAAGTACCCTGGCACTCCCACCCTGCTACCAACAGGTCCACCTTTCCCCAGCGGTTCACGTCTTCCTTGGTAAGCTGTCCCACATCCCACTTCTCATTCTGCATGGCCTCCCGTATCACTTCCTTCGCCAGTTGAGCTGGGTACCGCTGCTGCAGTATCTGTGCATGCTTCCAAGCCATCCTCCTCACCTCCGGGTCTATTTCCACATACACCCATCTTTTCACCTTCAGCCCTGCTTCCAGTGCCGCCACTAAGCCTGCCCCCAGCCCTCCAAACAGCTCCACTAAGGTAACGCTATACTGGTTCAGGTTAGCTCCGACCTTGCCCTCTTTGGTACTCCCCCTCCTTACGCTCTCTCTTCTCATGCCCTCCGCCCTCCAAGCCTTCTTCGGTTCTGTCTTCACAAACCGCACTGGCAGCTCACTCAACTCCTTTCCCTCAATCCAGAAATCCGAGCGGTAGAGCACCTGTTCCTGCCAGGTACAAATTGTTGTACCTATCTTGAATAGCAGCTCCATCCCCAGCAGAACATCATAATCCTCCGATTCCGTCAGCCCACATTGCACTCTTATCGTCGTTTCTCCCTTCTCTCCCGGCTGCAGAGTAATCTCGATGGGGTCCTTAGTACAGGGCATCCACTTTGGTGCCCCTCCCTCGGCTGTCATGATCAGTATGCCTCTGTTTACTATTTCCAAGTCCCCTTTCTCCCGTAACTGTTCTGTCAGCTTCCTTCCCAGCAGGACACTCTGTGCGCCTGTATCCACCACGGCGTTCTCCACTAATATGCCCCTGACAGCCACTGCCTTAAGTTCTACCACCAGGGCCGTGGGTTGGCAGACGAGTCTCTCCTCAGGATGCCGTCGAGCCGTCCTCGGCTTATGGCTTTCTTCTTGTTGCCGAGGGGTTCTCCTTTCAGGCTGCTTCTGCTCTGTCCTGCCATCCTTCCCGCCGCTGCGCAGCCCCAACTCCTCTCGGTCTCTAGGTGGTATGGCCATGGCCCCGTACTCTGCCTCCTCTCTCTCATACTCCTCCTCTTCATCGTCCTCCCAAGCCAGCAATGCCTTCTCAGGGTCCTCACTAATCTCAGTCTTCTCCAACTGTCCCTTCAGCTTCGCCACCTCTCTCTCTAACTGTAACTCCCTTGCCGATTTTCCTCGCATTCTCTCTCCCTTGCTGTAGCACCTGTCTTCAGTATGCCCCCTTTTCCCACACCCGGTGCAGATAGGTGCCTTGGGGCAGTCACGTCTGAAATGTCCTTTCATCTTGCATGTGTCGCACACTATGTCTATGGCGCAGTCCTTCCGCACGTGCCCCTTTTCGCCGCACTTGTAACACCTGCGTCTATCTTCAGACGGCCTCTCTCTTCGTTCCTCTTCCCCCTGTCTCCCTTCCACCGCTGCCCAAGCAGGCCTCCGACGTTCGCTCGGCCGACTGGAGCTTGACCCCCTCATTCCTTCGAAAAACCTCTTTCCATCCTCCACTTCTTTCGCCACCTGGTACACCTGTCGCAGCTTCGCCCGTACCCCCAAGGAGTATAGTCGGCTTCTCATGTCTCGTATCAAGTCCCCATCCAGTCCGTTGACGAACTTGGTCACTAGGATGCGCTCCTCCACGCAGCCCATATCCTCTGCCAGCTCCAGTAAACGGTTATAGTAGGCCAACATCGACTCTGCCGGCGCTCTTCTGAAGTCTTGAAACTCCGCCATCCGGTCAGCCGAATGCCCCGGGAACTGCTCCTGCAGGCTTTCCAAGAAACGGTCCGTAATATCTGCCGGTAAGATATCTCCTCTGTTGCTCCGCATCAGCAGCCCCTGCCTCTCCACGCGGTAATGAGTCAACGCCTCTCCTTTGAGAGTCCTCCCCAAGCCTCTGAAAAATTCAATAGGATCCAGTCGCTCCCTATCCCAGCAGTAGCGAATGTCTTCAATCATCATCAGGTAGTTTTTCAGCGTGGGCTCCTCTCCGGGTGCCCCCGAGAAGCGGTCTGGTACCTCAATTTTGGGTGGTGTAGTACTCATCGACCTGCCTGTCCCCCAGCTTGTGTTCCCTCCTTCTCCACTCCCTGCAGGTCGCCCTGCTCTCCCGTCCTCCATGGCTTCGTATCCTCCAGCAGAGAATCCGTGATATGCTTCCTTGCCTCGCTGACTTCGTCGTTCCACCGATTGATCGTCTCCTCCCCTCAGACTATGCCTTTCTTCACGTTGATCTTCTTCTCCTCTCTGACTCCGCCGTTCTTCTCGATGATCTTCCCCTCCCTTCTGACTTCGTCGATCTTCATGTTGATCGTCTCCTCCCAGATCTGGATTTCCTCGGCGAGATCCACTCCCCACAGGTCGCCCTCCACTCCTCTCCGCGGGCGAGTCGCATGCAGAGCTCGACTGTTGTTCTCCGTGTACACCTCGTTCTTCCTCCCGATCCCCGCCTTGGTTACCGCGCGAGATCGTCCCTCCTTCGCCCGCCCGAAATCCAGGCATCCTGACCGGCGGATCACGTCCCTCCATCATCCTCGCCGGGAATCGGTGTCCAGAGCGCAGTTGATGAGTGTGAAGCTCACGGTCGAAATTACTCATTCCTCACGGTGCATCACCGTGGGCAACTCCAGGCAGTAGATCCTGCCACCTCTTCTCTCAACAATCGTAATCCTGACTACCCTTTTTGCTTGTATGAAACAAGACTTAACTCCCTCGCAAGGGCTCCGCCGATTTGCTTCAGCTCCTCTCTACTGCTAGTTCCCCGTGGTTTAGGAAATCACAATTGCAGTAAACGAGAAACATACAAGCAAAAAGCAACGAGTCTGAGCGCTACCCCAGTCTACATCCCCTCCTGCCTAGGTGCCTTGTCCCGCAAGCTACCTCTACTCCTAAGCGCGAGTCAGCCGAGCTGATCGCGTAGGCTTCAAGGTGCTAGCTGGGTCCCACTCGGCCCACTAGGCATGCACCGCCTTCCAGCCTGGTGAATGGCGAATTGAATTCCCAGGCTGGCTGGAATCGAATTCGCCACCAACCTCCCCCCCAACCACCTCGAAATCCTCAGCAGCTCGACTCTGTATAGTACAGTAACATTCCAAAAGAGCAAACAAAGTAAAATGCAAAAAGCAGTAAACTATAGTACACCTCACCTTGGCTGCTGTGTAATTCACACTTAGTTGCCAGCTAAGTGTTAATCACGCGACAGGGGTCCGCGGTTTTTGACGCCATTGCAAGCTGGTTTTGCCTTGAGGGTTGCTAGTTCGCTGTTTGCTAGCTCAAGCTCTCGCGTGAGCTGCTCCACCGTCTTGGGGCGAGCCGGATTGAGACGACCAGATGCACCGGGCGTGCACATGCTCTCACCCCTCCCCTCGTTCGTGTGTGGATCCCTTTTCCAGGTGTAGTCGTCGCCCCTTTCGTCACGTTCATCGTACGGAGAGCCAGCCATAACTCCGCCACAATCACCCAATGTGTTTGCCCACATCCCACCTGCCACACCGTCGTTTGCTGCTGCGGCCGTTGGGTCAGCGTACCGTTTGGGCTTAAAGTCGTCTTTATCAAGATCCGGTGAATCCCGTGTCTCGAGACGCTTCGCAAGTGGGTCTTTTCCCTCCTTGTTATGACGCCATGACCCTGTAGGCAACGGGTCTGCTCCTTTCCCAGCATTTAGTGATGGCCCTCTGAGAGCAGCATAAGGGTCCTCGCGATCGTCACGCCTCCTTCGGGTCTGGTCTTTACGATCAAGATATCCAGTAGGAGCAGCAGTTGCTTTCACTCCCATCTCCGCATAGAATTCAGGCTCGGGCTTCACTTTGGGGCGCACACGGACAACCTGGGAAACCACACGCCGGCGACCGTTGTTGCCATGCGATTTCCCACGACTGTCGCGCCCCTTACGGCCCTTGTCCCGACCCTTGTCACGGTTCCTCTTAGGAATGCCCTTCTTGGCCTTCTGATCACGCCCCTTTCTCTTGGGACGCACCTCATCCGCCTCCTCGCTTTCCGGCTCCAGATCTTGGTCCTCACTCTCCTCCTCCTCCTCCTCCTCCTCCTCCTCCTCCTCCTCCTCCTCCTCCTCCTCCTCGTCCCCATATTCGCTGCCAGATGAACTACCAGATTCCCCGTCGCTGGATCCCTCCTCGGAACCGGACGACGATCTGGGTGAAGCGTACCGTTTCCGTCCCTGGCGAGCCTTCCTCATTTTTCTGTCGTGACCGCCCGTGTCAACCACCTTGCGCCGCTTGTACGTGACTTCAGCCCCTCGTCCCTTACGCTCCCCATCACTGTCGCCCTTAGTGCTTACAGCCCCTCGTCCCTTACGCTCCCTATCACTGTCGCCCTTAGTGCTTACAGCCCCTCGTTCCTTACGCTCCCCATCACTGTCGCCCTTAGTGCTTACAGCCCCTCGTCCCTTACGCTCCCCATCACTGTCGCCCTTAGCGCCTACAGCCCCTCGTCCCTTACGCTCCCCATCACTGTCGCCCTTAGCGCCTACAGCCCCTCGTCCCTTGCGCTCCCCATCACTGTCGCCCTTATCGCCTACAGCCCCTCGTCCCTTACGCTCCCCATCACTGTCGCCCTTAGCGCCTACAGCCCCTCGTCCCTTACGCTCCCCATCACTGTCGCCCTTAGCGCCTACAGCCCCTCGTCCCTTGCGCTCCCCATCACTGTCGCACTTAGCGCCTACAGCCCCTCGTCCCTTGCGCTCCCCATCACTGTCGCCCTTAGCGCCTACAGCCCCTCGTCCCTTACGCTCCCCATCACTGTCGCCCTTAGCGCCTACAGCCCCTCGTCCCTTGCGCTCCCCATCACTGTCGCCCTTATCGCCTACAGCCCCTCGTCCCTTACGCTCCCCATCACTGTCGCCCTTAGCGCCTACAGCCCCTCGTCCCTTACGCTCCCCATCACTGTCGCCCTTAGCGCCTACAGCCCCTCGTCCCTTGCGCTTCCCATCACTGTCGCCCTTAGCGCCTACAGCCCCTCGTCCCTTGCGCTCCCCATCACTGTCGCCCTTAGCGCCTACAGCCCCTCGTCCCTTACCCTCCCCGTCTTTGGCAGGCCCAGACTGTAGCACGTCGTCGCCACCGGCCAATGCCACCTTATCCTGACGATGGAAAGAACTGCCCCTCTCCACCGCACTCCTCCCCTTCCTGCGCTTTGCTCTCGGACGGCAGTGACCCTTCTCTTCTGACCCGGCTGTGAAAAGCATAAAAAGAGAAAAATGAGTAGTCACATGTGACGTAAGCGGGATACGCGGTAACAACCTATAGGCATCCCAGAAATTACGCAAGGAGCCATATAATTGCTGGTGGGATCCGGTGAACACGTACCTTTCTGGCCTATTTTGGGGTTGCATTCTTCCAACTTCTTGATACGCCGTTCCCTCCGTTTCGGGGGCGATGAAATAGCCTTGTTTGCGTATGACTCCACATCGCCGTCACGGCTGGAGTCGTTTTCAGATGAAGAATCGCCCCCTGACTTGCTGTCGTTGCAAGCTTTGGACGGATGTCTCCTACGATACTCGTTGACGACTTGGGCCGTTTTCTCTGGTGTGACTACCTCCATATATCTCTTCTCATCTGGCGATTTGGTAGAACTAGGCAACTCAACAACCCCTACTTGCGCATTAAGGGTTTGAGCTTGAACTGTTGGATCTAGGTTCACACCCATGACGGGCGTGTTACGGAAGTTAGGAATTAGATAGTGACTTGACTCACCAGCGGATACTAGCATTAAATGTCAGTTGGTTGCTGAGGTCCGAGTACCAGACACGGTGGTGGAGCAGGTGTACGTGATCCAACCACCACGTATGAGCAGCACCAGGCTGATGAGGGTTTGAACATGCGGTTTAGAGAAGCACGATGGTCCTTCGAGATCCACCGCCTCTCCAGAGCACAGGTACATGGGCTGTTACTGTAGATGGGAAGAAGCTAGACGGTCACGGTCACAGGTAATGACGCTTTGGCCAGGTTTCCAGAAACTGCACTCGTGTTCGCGCCACTGACTGTATGGTCCGTTGGATACCTACGGCGCGCTGCTGATTGTTTTGCCGCTAAGTGCGAAAGGGACGGCCTATGATAAATAAACCAGCGGCAACGAGTGAGAGTTTGAACTGCCCGACTCCCTCGTGTTGCTGAATTACAGGCAACGCGACAGGTGCCGCACGTATATTATCACAATAGTCACGTACCATGCCCGATGAGCAGCTGCGACTACTCAGCGAACTACACGAGAGAGGGAAGGTGGGCTCGTGGTCGCACAACGTCGTGCAGCCACGTACAACAGGTCGACACAGCGTGATTGTGCAAGGGAACACCTGAAATCGCGGCGACGTGAGTCGCCGCACAGCGATTGCGACACGGTCGCAACGGCTCAGTGGTGTGATGAGCGCAGGTGTCGTAGGCGTGGGGTGTGAGGCGCATCCGAATTTCCAGCGCGTATAAACGCCTAGTCTCGCTATGCTACAGTGTTGGCATGTACTACCCTGTTCGAAATTGGGTGTATAATCGTCATGGAAATCCGCTCAATTGGTTCATAGAGTCCAGTCCTGCCTTTATATTCCATGGGGACACACTGGTTTTTAACTGTAAGGAAATTCCCTTTTCCTTACTTCGCGTCCCTGCTCAACGCGTACATCACTGTAGCACCTCAGTCAGCACCGTTACCACTCGCGACCATCGCATCATTCATCATCCCGCCCTTTTCGCACATCGCATCCCGACCTCACGGCTCGGCTGGTAACCCGCGCTCCGGGCCTACGCTTCGACACTTTCCCAACCTCAGTCCCAGGCTCGTCGCGCGACAACCACAGTCCAGTACCGTTACCACTATTGTTTCGCTATATAATCCTTCGCTCATGCCTTTGCTCATTGTACTCTTGCTTCGATAGTGCAATTCTCGTTCGTTCACTCAATTGCACACGTAACATTAACAAATAACCAACACAAATCAGTAGGATGCACACAGTGATGTCGTTAATCGATTAAAATCTCTGCTCTATGCACCGTAGCTTAAATTTTGAACAGCCAAGCAATCCTGTCAAATTCACCGTTACAGTTTACTATGGGTTGTGATTATCTTCATGTATAGACGTGTGATTTTCATTACTGAAGAATAGCATGAAGACACGTGGTTACATGCAGCTGAGACAGTTGTTGATCTCCCTGGCAAAACAGCACATGCAAGCCAGTTGCCTTTTGCAAAGCTAGTCACTGGGACAAGGTCAATGTACTATGGCTGAGTGCAATGACCAAGTCCACTTTCCATTATGTGCACCTCTCCGTAATCTGCACCTCTACAACCTCTGCAACTCTTTGTTCACTACCTCACCCAGTCCACTGCACCTCTCCATTCGCTAAACCTCTCCCTTCCCTGCACCTCTCCGTTCCCTGCACCTCTCCGTTCTCTGCCCCTCTCCTCCGTCCTCTGCACCTCTCCGTCCGCTGCACCTCTCCGTTCTTTGCACCTCTCCATTCTCTGCACCTCTCCGTTCTCTGCACCTCTCCGTTCTCTGCACCTCTCCGTCCTCTACACCTCTCGTTTCTCTGCACCTCTCCGTTCTCAGCACCTCTCCGTCCTCTACACCTCCTTGTTCTCTATCCAGTTGATCCACAAGACCACATTCGCCGGACATTATTCATCTGCCATATCTCCTGCCCGTTTATCCATACTTTATCGACAAGTTCATCCCACTGACAGGCTGCCTAAGAAACCAAGGTGTATACAAGGAGGAGGTAGCGAGGCTTAACAAGAGAGTTGACTGCTGGGTCATCATCAATAACAAGGTGCGCCTCTCATACCGACATCACGTGCCGCAAGTGCCACACATGCCTCACATGCCTCACGTGCCTCACACGCCTCACATGAATATATGCCACCACGATACCTCACCCGATGCCACACATGCCACTCATGCCTCACGTGCCTCACATGCCTCACGTGCCTCAGATTTATCACGTGCCTCACATGCCACACGTGCCTCACGGGAGTCACCTGAGCTCCGCCTCCCATGCCTCGTATGCCTCACATGCATCACATGTCAGCACAATGCCCCACATGCCACTCATGCCTCACGTGCCTCGCATGCCTCACGTGCCTCACATGTCCCGTCGTGCATCATGTTCCTCACATGAGCTCTGCCTCTCATGCCTCGTATACCTCGTATGCCTCACATGCCGGCTCGATGCATCACATGCCTCAAACACCTCACACACCATTCATGCCCCACGTGCTTCACATGCCTCCTCTTCCTCCTCCTCCACCTCTTCCTCCTACTCCTCCTCCACCTACTCCACTACATCCGCCTGCACCTTCTCATCCTCCTCATCCACCTCCTCCTCCTGGTTTCGAGGTTGGTTCAACGCATTTTCGAGGAAGAAGACAGACCACTTCTTCAGGTCGCGAAGGTACTGACGGCGCCACTTACTCGGTGTACCAACAAGCTTACACGCACCCAGGTTATGGAACTTGTTTTCAACAAGTGTGTGCATCACGCGCATCGTGAACACACCGCAGTCATTCTCATTAGTCTGCGACGGAATCTGTCAACACACATTCGCACATGCACGTGGCTGTCAAAAGGTGGGTCGTTGATTGAGAGCTGGCATTTAAGACAACGGGATCAGAGGTCACCTTGACGACGCGCAGAGGGATGCTCGCAGCCCAAGCATCTACGTCCGAATCAAGGATCCAAGTTGAGACCCTCATAACCTCGTTTCTTAAGTACCTGAATGACGGAGCACAAATGGAAGATTAGAGATCGGGCTTCTACGATAGAATGCACACCCATGACGTCCTCTGACAGTACTTTCGCAAAGGCGCGTCCACGGATTCGTGGGATCCGTACGAATCCGCATGCCAGAGAACGCAGGTCATGGGTATGTTCTCATCTGGTTTGGGGATTATCTCAATGACGACCAAGCTCCAATGATACCTACAACAAGCGATGAGCGAGTATCTGTCAGAAATAGTCGTTGATCGAAATTATGACTGGAATTCAAGCGATTGACACCCACTCGCTGTTGATCGGGACGAGAATATAGTTGTAGTCGAATATCCCCAGCCCAAAAAGATGGGCGTTACCCCGCTTCGCAATGTCCCTTCCAGCGTAGTTCCAGAAGTAGGATCCACTGTACAGCCACATCTTGTTGTCGCGACCGTGCTCATATTGAAGCATCCTGTGGTTGTTGAAACATAACGCATTATAAGCGTCTTAGACCTACAAAGTAGTCCTACTTTGGCTTCTCACGAAATTAAACTCATAACTCACACTCCCAGCCAGTCGATGACGATTCCGGTCACCCATTCTCCGGGTTTAAGCTTATTAGCGTGTTCCTCACTGACGTCTAGCCACGCTCCGCCAAATGGGAAAGGCATTGAAATCGGGTGAAAGGGAAAATCACAAGCTGCATCTCGTGAAGCCATGGAATGGAATCACCTACGAGCTGGCGGTACTGGAGATTCAGATCGTCATGCAACGGAGTGTGTTCTGGCTGCTGGTGCTATCCCTGGAACTGTGTGAGCTCTCTGGTGTATGGGGGGTTGAAGAGGCATCGCCCAATGATGTGGTTCCGCAACACAGTTTCGACACCCACGTTTCGGTGCTGCCTTTGGGTCCGTCAGATTCCAAATGACGTGGACTGACATGAACGCGGATGGTTGCTAACGCTTGATTGCCTCCCTTCACTAGTGACTGATTCTGATTCTCGCTGGTCTGGAATGCCCAGTCAGCTGTGGTCCAAGAATTGTGCGCTCCAATGTTTCCGGAATTAGCTCGAGAAACACGTAGATCCAGCACGATGAGACTCTTTTCAACGGTCGGATTTTTGAGACGAAATGCAGTTTGGTCGATTAGGGTTCATCACCCTGCCTGGGCTTGAGCAACACATGACGTAATCATACGTGATTGGTTGGAATTTTAGGGTTGTCAGAATCACTTCCGGGTTTGGTGTTTCGCCACCCACCACGTCAACCCTGCACACTCGACATCCAGTATGCTGTAGTGTCCAGATATTTTTAGGTGTCTAGGGAGTTGCGGAACACTATTAACCCCACGGTGACTGTCTTCGCACACCACACGGTTACCTTCGTGATCCACTAAACATCAAATTTTCATACCGTGGAGCTGCTCATTCGCCTTTGCAATGCGGGGTGGAGTAGGTTCTCACGCTAAGTAACATATTTCTTGTGAACCCTTTTCATTTCCAGAGCCAGCCCGGGTATGTTTGTTGGGACAGATTCCCTCCATCCATGACATGCTGCTGGACGTAGATTTCAATGTTGACACCATCTCGACAGTA